GGTTATGAAGTTTTGCACAGTCATTCAGTTCCAAAAAAAATTTTCATGAAACAAATTTAAAGTAATTTTACACACTGTATCTCGTGGAGAGACGACTTTCGTGACGTCAGAGCGTTCAAGCAACCCTACAGCCTTGGCTTTGTATGTAGTAGGAGGTACTGGCTTAACACCGAAGATGGCGGTAGAAAAAAAAAAAAAAAAAAAAAAATTGCCAACCAGGGTCGAGTAAATGGTGAACTGGTCCGAAATAATCCGCAGCTGTTAAGTGGTAGTCTTGATAGCACATTTAGGAAAGAGCCCAAATAAATAAATAAATAAATAAATAAATGGGAAGAGTTAATAAATATTTTTAAACGAAGAAAGAAATGTCCTTTCCAAAACTACAGATTTGTGAAAAAACGTAAGCATAATTTCTGGTATGATCTTCTGCAAAAATTTAAATTTTCTAAAAGCTTACATATTTGTAAACTATTTGTTAACAGGAATTTTATGATTCAAATATTTTCTTTTCTTAAAGGTTATGCAACAATGTCATAAATGAAATCATTGAATATATTATCCAGTACGCGTGTTTAATATTACTATTGAATTTGAAAAAAATATTTTTTTAATTTTTAGCAGCTGATGATTATATCAAAAATTTAATTTATTCATGATTGGATTGGATTATTCATTTACGACAAAGCACACGAGAGATATCTGCCTAAAGGGAGGGGTGCCTTCGTGGAGGACTTTCTAAGGGGAACTGGCTCGTATACACGTTACACATGGGGAAAAAACCACGAAAACACCCATGCAGCCAGCCCGTTCGCGGGATTCGAACCTCAGACCGCACTACCAGTTTTCAGCGTCTTTACCGCTCGGCCGCTGGTGAGCCTAACTTATTTATGAATTGTATCTATTACGTAACTACAGATATACTATGTATCGTAGACATCAATAAGCATTAAACTTTGAAATGATGCATTAAACGCATTTTTCTCAGAATCTATTTTTTCTCAGAACTTCTTTACTTGGTGCAAGATAAATAAAATTATTGTTGTTTTATTTTTATGACACATTGTGTACTTAATCTATATATATTTATCTAGGGACTGACATACCAGAATATTTATATTGTCATTATTTTTTAAATTATGGCCTGTTGTTAAAATAATGATATCGTACAATCATTGAAAATCTCATTAAAAAACTCCCATAAGCTGAGAAATTTTATTTTTTTAATAAATCGTTAAAACCCTATGTCATTCCCTAGATAAAAGCCTGTACTTTATTACTGCGTAACTTTTTCTTATATAACTATAATACTTTTCCATGTAGGATGTTTGAAATTTTTTTAATTTGCTTAAATTTTCATGCATATTTAATATTTTTGCAGAATAATAACAATATATATTAAATCTTGATATTCCATAATTAATTTTTATTAAAAAATTAATGAAAAACAGTATTTATAATAAACCAATAACGAGTTTTTGAAAAAATGTTTTCCGAACGTGTTCGGATACCTTAAAAACGATTTACTAGTGAGTAAAAATATAACAAATTTTTAATGAATGTAATAGAAAGGAAAGGAAATAAAAAATATATATATATATAACTATAAGTTAAATCACAAAACATATCATCTTGCATATAAATGCACACACACATAAATATATTATATAAAATGGAAGAAAAAATGACCTAAGAACTGCACATTAAGCGAATGGTAGGATTTTCTGTTTATATAAATAAACCTTGGCATTCTTCTGTGTCATTAAATGCAATTATAGATATGTGGGTACCATCTACAGCGCCGATGACACCAGGAAATCCAAACTTTCAATTGAATCCTGATTTGATGTTGTTTTGTTGAAAACTGTTTACTGTAAAATTTTATCCATTTGGAAGTCCAATTGGGCTAATTTACCATTTTCCGCTTTGTAATTTTTATAATTTTTATAATTTTTGCAATTTATGTTTAATTATTATATTTTAATTTTGTTTTAACTTGTTCCGTCGATCTGTTTTTATATGCATTAACTTTTCTCATATCACAACGATCAGATTAGTTTTTTTTTTTTTTTTTGTGCATTCACATGTTTTCCAACATTGGTTTTAACAGTTTTTTTCGCGTGTAGGCTGTTTTTTCACTTTACAAAGTACATATATATATTTTTTTAAAATTACTTCTATGTTAATATTTTAAAAAATACTGCGTTGAACTATTTCATGGAGCCACAGCTCCTGGTAACTTTTTAGCAAGCTCACTACAATATTTCTTCCTATTATTTCATATTTTTGCAGCATTTTGCGCAAAAATTTTTAAGATCAAATAGATCTTACGTCACATTACTTGTTAGCTTTTCAATTTCTATTTCGATTTTATTATATATATCTATATATATATATATATATATGTATGTATGTATAACTGTATTATAAAAATATTAACATATGCAGTGAAAGAAATTGCAGTACATACTCATATTTATACCCTTTTTCAAATCCACCCCACCAGCGGCCGAACGGTAAAATCGCTGAGCACTGGTAGTTCGGTCCGAGATTCGAATCCCGCGAACGGTCTGGCTGCATGGGCCTTTTCGCAGTTTCCCACACGTGCAACGTGTATACGAGCTAGTTCCTTTAGAACGTCCTCCACGAAGGCACCCTCACCTTAAGCAGATAGCCCTTGAGGCTTTGTCATAATCACTTAAAAACAAAACCAAACACTTTTTAATGTGAATAAAAAATACGAAAAACTAATATAATATCCAAAAGCAGACCACATAAAAAATATGACAACTAATTATAAATCATGCATTAAAATATTTACAAGAATTTAATTTAACTGAAAATTATATATGAATTTAACTTGAAATATACAGGAGATTCTAAAACCTGACATTCATATCGGTACAATTAAAACTACTTAATTAATTTTTTAGCTCAATATGAATGTGGAATTTAGGATGTTCATAATTTGAATATTTAATGCATTTGTTAACGTAAAGTGGAGGGAAATACATCATAATTTAAAACCTAAAATTTCAAAATTTATAAATTACACATCAAAACATGAAAGAGTACATTAATAAAGACATTAGTTTTAAAATTACAATTTTAAATTAAAAATATGCACTACTACTTTATATGTGAAAATAGCCAGAAGCCTGTATCACACAGATATGAAAACAAGCAAATTATTCCTTACCTTTAATTTAGAAGTTATTGCTGTCTTTGATGTGGATGCTCCGGTAAAGTATGGCTTTAATTTATTGATAAGGGTCCATGCTGTCGAGGTTTTCGCATATCCTTCCGTAATGGATATTTTAATAAATATATCCATTCCAAAACAATTCCAAAAACTATCCGTGACCTCCGCCGTCTTCAATTTAGCTCTAAAACGACAGTCAGAATGTTAAACGGCAGCTACTCAGCTGACGGTAAAATTTCCTACGCGTCGATCTCTTGAATGATTGAGAAGATGACATTAAGTCTCGTTCTTTGTCGAGTAGATCGCAAAAAAGACCCGTTTTTCCATCTCCACTGTGTCCAGACCAGGGCCCTTAATCAAGAGGTGAAAATTTCTAGATTCGATTTTTCATCTAAAATTCCATGTATGGCTAAGTGTAGATAACTGAGTGTTCAATTTATGTTTACTTTTATTTTATTTTATTATTTATAATTAATTTTCAGTATAACTTCACGTGTTTATCGTTTGTAACTTTGCGATTCTGAGTCTGTCAACTGAAAAGAGTATTCTAATGTTTAGAATTTAATGAGAGTTGTTTTCATATTCGCAGTTAGATGTTTTATAATATAAACGTTGCACTTATTAATGTTACAAAGAATAAAAAGAGTGTTATGTTAAATCTTTGTATGAGTTTTGAGTTCTAGAAATATTGGTTTATAGCTGAGTTTTAAGTTCGGTATCCGACACTAAGTGATCCACTTTTAAAATTCTTTCTGCTACAGTAATACAGCGAGAATTTACATCTCTTTGAATTAGCTCAAAAATCTCAGAAAAGGTTAGCATCTCCGTTTCCTGATGTCAGATCACAACACCGTTTTTATCTGACAAGCTAATGTGTAAAAGCTACTACGCTAATGTGTAAACCTATAGGTTAATTGAATCACATTAAAGTTGACCAAGTTTTCGATATAAACAACAACAAACAATGCTTCAAACGGAACTGAGCTGTGAATTAAACTTTCGGTATAATGTTTCTCTACGGAGTTTCGCAGTTTTCAAGCTATATTTTCTAATTTTACATTTTTACTTCTGCCCCATATTTTTTGCTTAAAGTTTCATTTATAATTAAATCTCGTTTTTTAGTAGCGACGTATATTGCTATATTAATAATAAAGAATAATTTTAATGTAAAAATTACCCACATTTGTTTTGTTATCGCTACTTTGGCGACTTTTTGGTTTCCCGAGATTCCGACACCCATAGTGTTTATCGCAGTGCCATTAAACAAGTTTTGGAGATTAGAATAATTCTTCCAGGTATGCCTCCTATAATTCTTTCTATATGAGTACATAAATGCCTTTCTAAAATAATATTCGTCGAATATATATTTCTATTCCATGCTGTTTAATTGAATCCATTTATTCAATGAATGTGTTAATTTTTTTTACGTAAACAAGTATGTGTGATTACAGCAAAGCCTTGAGGGCTATCTGCCTAAGGGAAGGGTTGTCTTCGTGGAGGACTTTCTAAGGAAACTGGCTCGTATACACGTTACACATTTACGTAAACAAACGTACACATTTACGTTTCGCGATGTGAGCGCCCTCTTCGGGAAAGAGTCATTGTTATAATATATTATATAGTTATATATGTATTCATCGTCAAAAAAAAGGACAAAAACAAATTAATTACTAGCATTATATTTAGCAGTATACTTTTAAGCAGAATCAAAAGTTGTGTTTCAAGGATGAACAATCATTAACGGCTGTTAAGCCTCCGTTGATATCTATTATATTTTCTTTTATGTCTTGGCAACAGCGGTAACTGTTAGAAATTTCCTGCTGTTAAAGAACGTGGTTCTGAGTTTAAGGAGTATATTTATATTTAAAAATTAAATCAAAATGCCTCCCAGTAATGCCTCAACGAAAGCTTCCAGTGGTGGAAATAACTCTGGAGGGCAGTCCTATTCAGACAGAGAAAAGCCTAAGCAGATTCGAGATAGTAACATCACAGCAGCTAAAGGTAATTATGCGAATAAAGAAATGTAGCCATATTAGGATGCCGGCACATGTGAATAATATTTCTTTGTAGCATTGATATATGAGTTCTTACTGCTCTTCAGTTTGCTAGAGTGATTCTTAAACAAGTAAATGCTATTTGTACAGTATTGATTCCGTGAAATTTTTTAATTATCTCAATTTTAAATACGGACATTATGCCATCAAAACAAAATTCTTATTTACCGTGCTTAATCCTTTTTCATGCTTAACTTTGATGATCTTCCTATTAAAAATGTTTAATTGAATTTTAATAGACGATTAATAATGGTTACATTGTTAGCATTGGAATGACAGATAAAATTTGTAATTGATTGACTGTCATGACTACTGAAGGTATATTTACACAAATTTTTAGCGGATTTTTATGTTCTGAATATGTCTATGTATAGAATTGAGCCTTTGTTTGTGCTCTGTTATAATGAATAGTTTTTGAATTATTTTGTTCCCTGATAGAAAAGTAACAGTTTTGCAAACTTAACAGTACTGCAAAACACATCTTGACATATTGGTACATATCGAATGGAATAAAATTATTTAATATATTGTAATAATGATGTTATTATTTTATAACATCAAACATTTGTAGCTTAAAAAATATGTAAATTGCTTATTATTTTATTTGGTGAATGAAAACCAGAAAACAATTAACAGAGCTCTTGAGTACATGAAACATATACAGTGGGTCATATTTGTTTTTGGATACATGTATTTTCGAAATTTGGTTGCATAGCTCTTGTACTAAGTATTGAAAAATAGACCCACCAATTTTTTTCCTGTTATGCGTTTTCATCCGCAGAGAACCCGTTGGTGTTTTTTGGAATAGATTTTTGGTCCATAAAAGTCCTTAATTTTAATCCTGTGAAATTTCTGTCTGTTTTTATGACTGCCATTTTGAGTGTGAATTAGCAGTTTGGAGGTATATTTTTGGCGATTCACTGTCATACACTGTTGTTCCCACGGGTTATGCAATCTCTGTTCCTATTTCTAATATAAATGGTGGGATACTCGAGTTTCTGAGCAAGAAGTGTGTGTGTGTGTGATTATAGCAAAGCCTCGAGGGCTATTTGCCTAATGGGAGGAATGCCTTCGTGGAGGACTTTCTAAGGGAAACTGGCTCGTATACACGTTACACATCTGAGCAAGAAGTGAAACAAGTATTTCGAAATTTATTTCACTTTTTCTAATGTAGAGCTCTTAAACAACTTTTCGCTTTTGGGGATGTGAATTCTTTTATTGAACGGCTCTAAATTCGGCGACTTATCAACATTTTGACGATTTTTAAAATGAGTTTCTATAGAAAATTTTAATTTAAATGATTCGGGAATTTTTCAACGTTTTTTTTTAACATTCTAACATTGATAAATATCATTAAAATAATGGTAATATATTGAAATTATATTTAAAAAATAACATATTAATTAAAAAATATCTTCTTTTTAATTTTTTCATGATAAGAGTTTTCTCATGTAATTGTCTCAGAGTGTTCAGAATTCTCAGAATATGCATCAGTTTTCTCTATAAAATTAATTTCACACTTTTTCCATCTAAATTTTTTTAAAAAATATTTCTGGCTGTTTGCTGTTACAAAACTGGAAGGCGTAATTTTGCTTCCGGACATTAGACATTGCAACTTTTCAAAGTTTAGAAGGATTTGAAAGCAAGATTTATAGACCCACCATTCCAGAAGATTTTAGAAAATTGTGACGAAATGAAAAATGTCTCTATTGTTTTTTTTTTTTTTTTTTTTTTTTTTTTTTTTTTTTTTTTTTTTATTAACACGTAATGGACATATTTTATAGAAAGTTTGCAATGAATTTCTTACTTTTTGGAGAACATCTGGAAGAACAATGAAAACATAATATTTGAATGCTTTACTTCTGATACTAGAATCTTTTTCTTAACACGCTTATCTTCCCTTTATTTTCTCTACTTTTCACTAGACACAAGTACGAAAAATATTAAAAATGCTTCTAATCTTATCACATGGACAGGCATTATAGAAAGGAATTTTTTTATTAATAAAGAAATTGAAAACTAGCAATTTAAAAGATTCATCAAATATGTCTTAATGCATCATATACAGGTCTGACGCTAGACATTTTCGAACCTGGTGCAATCGCGTGGAATATTAAACTTATCTCTGTAGACCCTAAATTTTGCTGACTAGTGCCTTTCTAAATTCTGCTTCCAGTGCCTACTCTAACTTCTAAAAGTTTTGCCATTTCTGCATTTTGTTGCTCGTTGTGTCACTATGCCACACTAGCTCTGTAACCGGCTCTTACCATATATATTTCCTATTTCTCCTGAATGTTCATATTACTAAAGAAATAAAATTAGCAGCTTACTCTATACATTCTAAATGCATTTAATGTTTTTAGAATAACAGAAATCTTTAATTAAATCCAAAAATTCTAAAATGAAAAGGAAACGTTGAAGAAAGAAACTGAGTACATACAGAGAAAGAAAATTATTCTTCAAATATGTGTATACAGGTATTATGTAAATTACCCAGTTGTTTATAATTTCAGCCTGTACTATAATTTCCCGTTTCTATTTTTTCCCCAGAATGCAAATTGTTTAGGCAGTTTTTAAATTGAGTGTTTTTAAGAGTGTAAGACAGAGTGTGTTTCTTATCTCTGCTTGCTCGTCTGCATTAGTTCCTGCCAGCTCTGATAATTTGCACTTTTGTCTTCGCATTATCTATCGCTGCTGACATTTGAATTTGTTATAAACGATAGAGTTATTGAGCCAGCTTAAATTAAAATTAAATTGTATAAGTCTTTGACCACTAGTTCCACATATTTAGTTTGAATTTGACTCTTGTTTAATTACATCACCATGAACTATAATTGATTTTGGTTAGCATAAGATAATGTGTGTTCTAAGTTCTTTTTAAATAAGAGGCTTATTTAACATTTGTCTGATGTTTGTAGTTACTTTGGAGACATAGCGATAATTTGCTTCACGTCTGTGTGGGGAGTTTTTGGACTGTTTAACTTTGTACCAGATCGAATAAACCCTTATGCAGACATTGTGGAGAGGTTGACAACTTAGGAGATAAAGTACGCAGAAACTAGTCAGAACATTAGTTTGTGTATTCAAACAGAATTTTAATTGTTAGGAAAGATGCTTAAAGAGAAGAAAATTGATATAATTTAAGCCAAAATGTCTGGAAAGGCTTCAAATTAAAAAGATGCATAAGTATTTTGTTGAGTGCTGTTGCTACAAAACATAAATGTTTTGTAGCTTTTAATGTATAATTATCCTAATATCGTTTAAAAATCAATGACATAAATTGCATGTATTTTAAAGTATGAAATTTTATTAGATTAGGATTTTAATAGGGACTTTTAACAATATTGTTAAAAAATAATAGTAATCATGTAAATCCATACTGACTAAGGTTTTCTAACTACCTAATTTATACCTAACTACTTATTCTTAAAAATTATCTCTGCATAATGAAGTGAGTTATTGCCTATCATTATTGCTTAGCGTGACGCAAGGTTTAAACACAAAATGTAAAAATTCATGTAAAACTTATTCTTAGTATCTAGTGAGACCTAAAATAATACAAAGCAACTTAGTGTCACCTCTGGTGCTTTAGTGGCTTATTGGAACCTTAAAGTATATTAATTTGGTTACAACCCCTGGAACTCTACACAGAGCTACGAGACAGAGCCCAACTAACTTTCAAAACTAGCTAACCGTGCCCACATCAGGCCTCTCAGTTTTGTTCTGATCAGCAGGTCTCTCTCTAGGTAAGGAGCAGCGGTGACAACAGCCAGTCTTTTGTTATAAATCATTCTGATTATGATTTTACTTCTCATTTTAAACTGTGACACTTGACATAAAATCTACCTACTAATTACTAAACCTCTAGATTTAGCAAGTAATGAGACTTAAAAAAAAATCAACATGAAACTAACTATTAGTAAAATGTAAATAAAATGTTACTTACCCGCACAGAGCAGCGTGAAATTGATAAACAGATTTCGGAACGGTTAGATAAACAAAGGATATACCTTTATCCATTTTTTGTAGCAATTCGTTTTTTGTTTGATGGACATCGAAACATACTTTCATTTTCTAGATCCTTTGGGAGCTCCAGCATCGGAAATTCTATTTGACATAATCGAAAGTTCAGGCTTACTTTTATAAAATTGCTCTTACAGTCTGCAAAAAATAATAAGCCGGATCCAATTCGAAGATTAAGGAACAATGCAATCATCAACATTAACTGAAATAGATAATTAGATAATTTTAGCTTATACATTAAAAGCGCACGCAAAAACGTATTCTGCGCTTGCACAGATGCATATGCGTAGTCGTAAATATCTTGCGCGCACGCGTGAAACGCCTATGAGCATGCGTCAACGCGGTGCATGCACAGAAAGATTTTAGCTTTGAGGTCCGGATTATGGGTGTCTGAATTAACGACTTTTGACTGTATTTGCATTTCGACGTGCATACCATTCCGATATACATAGGCTGAATGATGGACGTTCAATTTTGAGGAAAGAATAATATGGGTACATTATCTTTCACTAAAACGTTCATTGAAGTATGAGCCAACAGTTGTCTACAATCGTAGATAATTTTTGCATTATCAGGTAAACCAACTGAATTCTATCAAGCCTCGAGTATGAAATGATTTCCGAACCAATCATTCATTAATACTTGTGTCATTCGTGCTTTTTATTTGCATGATATATAACGGGACTTTTTACTGCTTTAAATGCTCGATATCGTGTATTTTTTCTGATTATGAAAATTTTACACTTGGGTGTTCCTGCCGCATTTGCGTATACTAAAATTGCTAGTCTTGCTTTGGAATCTTTCACATGAGTTGGAGCCTTTTCTATAGAGGTTGCCAAGCTGGTACATATTGTCAGAAAAGACTAATGTCATCAGCGATATAAATTTGTTCTGGAGATAACTTGTAACTATAATGAGCTCATC